GCAAAGAATCCTCAATTTCATGAACGAAGCAAACATATTGATACCAGGTATCATTATGTGCGCCAGTGTGTTGAAGACAAAGTGGTGCAGCTAATTTTTGTGAAATCTCATGATCAGATGGCAGACATCCTGACCAAGGCTCTCAAGTTTGATGATTTCAAGAAATTAAGAAGCTGTCTTGGAGTTGGAAAAAGTCATGTTTAAAGGGGGGTGTTGAAAGGATAAACATGCTTTGAATATCCAGTTCATGTATCTGGTATGAATAGTATTTAATAATGTACCTAGAAGAATGGGATTCATGTATACCAGTTAACTAGGGAAGAACCAGTGTTTATAATTTATCTATAAATAACTTTGTAAGTTCTCATTTTCAATGAAGTAAATACAGAGAAATATAGTCTCCAAACTCTCCTCTCTTCCACTGCAGAGTCCTCATAAGTCCAGTTATATCCAACAATAACATGGCCCATACCTCTTCCATGTTGAGAAATGGCTGTCGAATGGGGAAATCAGGTCGACCATGCTCCTTTCTTTTCTGCGCTTCATCAGCATGACTACAGTCGAAAACATCCAACTCTTTTAACTCTGGCCAAAGCGTTATGTGTTCTCCTGGATAAAAATATCTGAGTCTTCGTAGTCGCACGAGTTTGAGGTTCGACAGTCGAGGAAACACAAACTTAACCATCGGTTCTGTTCCTCGACGCCCCATTGCAACAATTTCCTCCACCCCGCACAACTCTATTTGTAGCTTTTGGAGTTGTTTAAGGCCTTTTGCTACTGAAATTGGAAACACATTTTTGATACTGGGACAGTTCCGAACAATTACCGATTCCATATTTTGAAAAGTGAGAATTCCTTCGGGATCCTCATTCCACACATGCTTCAAATTCAAATTCGGCAGACCATAAATCCACAAATTTCTCAACTGGGTTTGTCCTGATTTTTTGAGGTTTATAAGCTCTCCCACTTTAAACACCTCTTCTACTGAAGCACAATAATCAATTACTAACTTCTCTATGGATTCAAAGAAACTTCCCAGTATATCTTTTGTAAAAATTGTCATTAAATTCTCACAACCTCTAACAATCAACTCTTTTAGTTTGCAAAAGGAATCCGGAGAGAGTTGGTTGTGCCATATTATCTGTAAGTTTTTCAAATGACAGAGAATCAAGCTCTCCAAGCTGGGAAACGCAACCTGCATATATAATTCATGCCAACGAGTGAAATTGATAAGGATAATCAATTCCCAAAGCTAAAGCTAAAATGCAAGTCAAAAGATGAAAAAAATTTTACTTGTTCATTGAAGAAGCACCGTGCGTCATCTGCTTCATTTGTGTTCGTAGATTTAACCATGACCATGAATTCCATTAATTCCGGACAGTTTATTATAATCAATCGCTTCAACGATGAGAATTTAACATCACAATTACCTGAGCAGAATCCAAATAAAGTTTTGAAGTCAAGAGCGAATTGTAGATTTTTGTTTAATCGGAACAAATGTATATTAAAAGTAAATTTTATTGACATTAAAATTAAAGTCAAATTTTTTATAAGTACAATGTACAATTTATATGTTATAATACATATATATATTAATTAATACATTACTAATTCATGATACCAATTAATTTGATAAACAAAATTATAAATTAAATAGAACCAACATAAAGTTACACTAAGCCTAAGAACATTAAAACTCAATAGAAGCTAAGGGTAGTAGAGCTTTAACAAGTAAAGATTTCAACTATTTATTTATTTCTTTTATTGGTCATAGGCCAGGAGTGCATAACTTGAAGATTTTACTATTTTTTATTGATTATAAGAGAAACACTAAGAACACTTTTTCTAACATTTTTTTTTTATATTAGTTGTATAAGAGGTAATCTTTTTTCATTTTTTTTTCTATCTTACTTGTATGTCATATGTTTTAAGTTCAAAATCTCTTACTTTTA